AAATCAGCCTTTAGGTCTACCTGCCCCTGGTTCCTTTAAGGCAGGAATTATCTCTATGTTACATAAACTTTGTATAATTTCTAGTTCTTTGGTAGATAACTTAGATATCCAAGTTTGTCAATCCAATAATATCAAGCAAATTTAGAATATTTTGAAAATCGTTTGTAAATATTTTGTTTTTCTCTCCTTGATTTTTTCCAACTAAAAACTTTTAAATCAGCACTAACCTTTAATGAACAGTTTATTGAGGGACTAGGCTTAACTAGGTCAATTCTACTACTAAAAAAGTTTTAGTATCCACTAAACAATTCTTAATATAACTGTAAGTAATTCTCTTCTTGTACATTAAATAATCATTTCTGAGAAGAATTTGCTTACCCTGCTTTGCTTCAATATAAAACAAGGATTTTCACTCTGCAGTCATGCATAAGATCTGAGCTCATGGTCTTTTTCTAGAATAAAAAGTTGACCAAACCTGATTTTTCTTACAAACAGTATTCATAATATAGTTAGTTTAGTCTTTTAGTAATTTGAAATATCAATAATTTCTTCATTTGTCAAAATACTATTTTTAAGAAATCCTTAAAGAAGCAAAGAAAACTTTCTTTAATATTATTATTCTCTAACAAAGTATAATTGAATACCATTAATTTATTTTTGATTTATTATATGTAATATATTGTTAGTAGTAAATTGTTGTAGCTCCATTATTCTATTTTAGTCTGGAATTTCTAAGTCTAGTTTACTAACCTTTTGCTCCAGAGAAAAAATTTAGTCCTAAATTCTTTAAATTCTTGGTATATGGAGCCCACATCCATTTTTACTCCCAAATTTGTTCTGTACATGAGTAGCTTGTATTAATTTGATGATCTGTCATAAGATAGCTGCAGGAGAAATATCTTCCTTCTCTATTAAATATAGGCAAGAGTCAAATATATTATAAAAACCATTCAATTTAGTTGCATTTTGTTCAACTTCTGTTGTATCTGTTTGTTTGGAATGGTTTTCGTTTGAATATAGAACATTGAATCCAAGCTGATAGTCTCGGATGTCTTCGAAGCATTGTATTCCTTGCCAATGGTGGTTGACCTGTTTTTCATTAATTACCAATACTGGGATATTTTAATTTAAACTCATACAAAACACCTACATCAGCATACTTCAAGTCAAACACATTTTTACTAATGTTTTTATCTGTTTATAACAGACGTCTTCAGGTATATATAATGCAGAATGAAACAAAGTATGTGACCTCTTTTTATTGGGGAGTAAGATAAAGGGCCTGAAAATAATAACAACAATTTCAATGAAAATACTTGTATTCATTATTAGAATTATAATTGGTTATTTCAAAATCATAGTCCTTAATTTGCACCAACATTATCAAACATCTGAGGCACCCCACAACAAAAAGTATGTCTTAAAGACGATAAGTGATATTTAGCATAAAACATATGATTATATGTATTTTTAAGTAATAAGGGAGTTAGATATTTTGACAGTTGAGATTGGAAGTATCTTCTAATATATTGTTTGGAATAAACTATGATTTTGTATTTGGGTATTATACAGGGCTATTTTTCGTTTGAAATGAGCCAGTATAGTGTACTGGCAGAACAGATAGCATGAAAAGTATTAATAAACTAGTATGTAGTACTGGCATTAATTCAGTAAAAAATGTCTGTATGTTAATGCAGGAGGTCTGGCGACTGGTATAATGAAAACAAAACAAGCTGACCACTCTATTAGCCATAATGAATGCTGTGGGCTGACTGCAGCCACAGTAAAAAGCAAATGGGGTAGATCCATCTCATATTTGAGGCCATTTTTCAATGAATAGACAATACTGGCTGGTAACTGTCTGAATCTGCTATGTTTTTCTCAAGAACAAGTTACTGAAAAGTGGTAATGATAATAGTTTGAAAGAAAAAGATAAAAACGTGATACTAAAGCTGTGGTCACACCATGCGATTTCCAGCAGCGTAGGCAACCGCAAATGCAACAAGCCTGAGTCACATGCGTCTTCTCATGGTCACGCATTGTTTGCTGGCGTTGCAGCTCGGAAACACGTGACCCTATAATAAACCAATAAAATTACAATAGCTAGTTTTTGACTGCTTTCATGAGTTTACTGACATTTTACATTCTACTTCAGAGTATTTACAGAATTTTAGCCACTTTTCTTATTAAAATGGCAAGCAGTTTCTTTTCTAAAATGAATAAAAGAAAAAGGCAATTATTTTGATAGAGCTGGCAAGAATACATGAAAAGATAAAATCTTCGATAAAACTAAAAATTAAAATCCTACAGGTATTAGTGAGCCTGAATAAGCTCGATCAATCTCGATTCTGTAAAAGTATTAATCCTCTAACTATTCGCCATGATGATGAACTATTTTCAATGTTGTCACCGTATGACGTGGCACAAAGGCATTTGCTGATTGGATGCACGTTTGCAATCGTTGTGAGTAGAACAAACTTTTTGTTTCTAGTCGCAGTTGCAGTTGCGCTGGTTTTTCAAAGGGAGTTTACTAGTTAATGGAAACAGCCGTCGTGGTTGCAGTTGCCTGCACAGCTGAAAATCGCATGGTGTGACCACAGCCTTAACAGAATACCATTTAGCAACTGACACCAAATCCAAAACAAGAAATAGGGAAGATATCTACATGTAAAAGAAATTACTCTTTTTCTTAATACCAAGATCTAAAACAAGAATTTATACATGTGGAACATCATTTCATATCACATTTATACATCTTTATCAATTTATATATTGTGCTTGAAACATTTTTAGTCCTTTCAATTGTGAAATAATTTGTTTGTGTGTCTTTCCTTTCTGATAAAGGTAATAGACATTGCATTTTTACTTTAGCAAATATTTTCAGAATTTTTAGAACATATCCTTTGTTCTATTCTTGCATCTCTCTCCATATTTTGGTAATTAAATTGCATAAAATTGATCCAAAAAATGTATTCTCTTTCAGAAAAGGAGAATTAGTTTTAGATTATTGGCTAATGTGTGCAAGTGATCACAAAGTAGTAGTTTACATGTTTATGCAACTACACAGTAATAGCAAAAAAAACCAGGATGTTATATCATTTGTTATAAGAGCATTTTAATGTTGATAGGCCAAAAATCAGTTTGGAATTTACTGTTATTTATCAGTAATGTGAATTTATTATGTCTGATCATGGACCACTGTGGTTTCAAAAATTTGCAATAAAACATATCTTTTATAATAAAAATATAAAATAAAAGATGAAGATTGATCTGGAATTCATGTATTTTCTTATTAACTTGACAATTACTTTAACATAAAGGATGACGACTCAACTGAACATTTTGATAGATTTTTGTTTTAAAAAAATTGTAATTGTTTAAAGATGCTATAGGGAAAATGATTAATGTAATTTTTTATGCAGTGAATTCACAAAAAACAATATGAAGCTGAATTGAGCATTTAAAGATGATGATACTAAATTTTGGAGAAATATGATTTTGATTTAATTAATTTAAATATAACTGATTTTAATACCCACAGGCTTGAAGTAATCTCTTCAGATTCTAGAATTATCTAATGCATACTAAATCATTTTTCCAAGCAATGAATAAATCTTATAAGATTTTGGAGAATTTTTATTGAAGAACAAAATCTTCAATCATTTTTTTTTAATTTTTAGAAATGCATTATTCACTTGCCTGTGAAAATTAGATTTAAAGTATAAAATTGATCTGTTAATTTAATGTGTAGAAGAATAATAAAGCTGCATTTATTAAAATACTAGCAGATTTTACTTTTTAATGCATGTTTCAAGCATAAGTTGGATTTAAAATTTCAAAAAAAAAATCAAGTTTTATGTTTATTTAAATATTAATAAAAGTTTAGTAAATTATAGTACTTCCTGTATTAAACTGATTGGCTTTTAGGCTGTAAAAAGTTGAAAAATAATATGTTATGAAAGAGAATAATAATAGATGTATGTAAGTATCCTAATGAACAGGTGAGAAATTATGTTTATTAAATAAGCTCTTCTCTTAGGGAAATAACCTCACCTCTGCTGATTACAAGTCTCCTTGCAAGAAAGTAATAATAAATAAGCTTTACCAATATAGATAAAAATAAAATCTAATCTGATATCAGCAAAATAGGAAGCCTTTGTTTGTTCAGAACAAGTGACCACCTGAATCGCCTAAGGCTGAACTGGTAGCCAGTATATAAAGAACTTGTTGCCAATATAGAAAGAACAATACCAAACTGAAAAGATAAGCTTTTAACTTTTCAAAATATGTAAATATAATGAAGGGTGTGAAAAGTTATGTTGTTAATAAAAATAATAAAACAATTAAAAATCTCCTTTTAAAATGTTTTACTAAACATGAAACAGATTCTTTACAAATGTAACTTTTCAAAATATTAAAATGACTGTCAATTATCACTGAACAGTAACTTATTTTCTAAAATCATATAGCTTGTGTGTCATTATTTGAGCAATTATTTTTTCTCTGGATGTCTTATGGTTTAAAAAGGTGTATTTTCATTTCTTAAATTTTCAGAACAACAAACCTGTTTTTATTCTAGGATTGTGTCTGTTTCTATGTTAACTGTCGCTGTGGCTTTCTCAGTTCCAGTTATATGTTTATGCAAATTTTTACCAGTCTTTACATTTTGGCTATTGGTTCTCCCTTTTATCTCCATTTTTTTTTTTTTCTTTCTCTTCCTTAAGTAAAGATTTCAGAGATCAAAGATTTAACCACCCACACCTGGATTGGGATATTTACAATTATCTGTAATTTTTTGTTTTCTAAGTAAACTATCACATCTGGTGACACTTTCCAGCTGTCAATATGTCAGTTTTCACCATGCTGATTTTCTTCAACTGAATTATAATATAGTATGAAATGTTTATGCATAGTATTAATATATTTATTATATTTAATTTTTTATAGGGTAAGTTGATTATCTTTGAATACTAATTTATCAAATTATTTTTAATTTTCAGTTTGCATGAAGAAATAGAAGATTTCTATAAATACATGACTCCGACTCCAGAGGAACATCAAATGAGGCTAGCTGTTGTCGAACGAATTAAGAAAGTGGTGAATTCACTTTGGCCAGAGGCAACAGTAAGTGCATCAAAATTAATGGAATGAAAAACTATTGTAGGTCGTAACAAAATTCAGAATGTAAAGAAAGAATTGGAATACTTTGCCTTTGCAGAAAATTATTATTATTATTTTTTTTTTTTTTTTTTTGGAATTTTAATAAGTTTATAAATTATGGGGCTGCTGAGTCATTACACAAATACTTTGACTCAAACTCCAGCTCCTCAGTTTATTATGATACCTTTGACTGTGATTATTTATAAATCAATATAAGATATGACTAAAAAATATAAAAATATACTAATTATTTACTTTTTATATTGATTGAATGCGTGCAACATTGAAGACATTTCATCATTGTCAATGTGAATTATCAGGCTACTTTTTGGAAGCATAACCCATTAAAGTTTGCATCTAAAGGATATAGCTGTGCCATTTTGGCTTTTTTACTTACCTGGCTGTTGTATATAACAGAGAGAAAATATGGCAATTGGTTTAAAAAAATGACTCCTAGATTTTACATTTTTGGACTTAACCTTGAAATGTTGAGCACTGCAAAAAATTTTGGAAGTAATTTCTGTATGTATGGATGCTAGTGTTTGTGACACAGCTTTGTTCATCCTGTTTGAAGCTTAATAATTCTTGGACCTTTTGTCGAAAATTTCTGAAATTTTGTAGTGAGGTTTGTTTATTGATGCTATTAAATTTTGATGATTAAAAGTCAAGGTTGGAGATAAAGGAGGACGTGTGTATCATAGTAGAATCAGACTTAATGATGATTTTACTCGTTATTAGCATTTACAATTTTTTATAATACCCATCCCTACTACTTAGAGAAATAAATCCAAACTGGAAAAGTTTAGCTATAAATCACTTTATTAACCTTAGTTTTATAAATAAAACTAAGGTTAATGAAGTGATTTATACCCATCCCACCCTCAAAATTAAGCTTTTTGCCATTTTATAATAGTTAAAAATATAAAAAATTTTAAAATATTGTAACAGATGGTGCCACTGAATGTTGCTGGATTTTTATTTTATTTATCAAAGAAATTATAACATTTAATAACTTTAAAGCCTCAATGAAAACAAAGTGTAGAAAATAAAAACAGTTATGTTTTAACAAAAAGAAACTAAAAGAAAATCAGGAACATCTTTATCTACCAATTTTTTTTTGAGATTATATTGTTTGAATATAAAATACTATACAGTAGAGCATCGTTTATCCGAAAGTCGGTTATCTGAAAGAATTCCAGTTGGCAAATTTAAATTTTCGCTACTGCTGTGGTGCTGTAATCTTTGGCTATTTTGTGGGCTACTCCAATATTTTTTTTGTTGGTGTGTGTGTGTGTTTTAGCTGGCAGCACTGGCACTTTTGTGTGGTGTTTTTCTGAGTACTGTATATGGTGCTGAATTGAACATTTTTGATACTAGATCAACTTCTAAAGTATATTTTTTTTGGTTTTTATATTTTTAATTTATTTATTTTGTTTGTGCAAAATAAAGAAATAATTTTTAACAATACAATAGCCGTGATTATTATTTTAAAAAGTTTATGTTAGGTTTAACATCGACGAAAATTCAATGCGAAGCGACACGCAATGGAGAAAAATTTCAACACGGGGTAGGTTAATATATTTTTTCATACATAATCGGTTATCCGAAAAATAAGTTATCTGAACAACCTCAGTCCCCAATTGATTCAGATAAACGATGCTCTACTGTATTTATTTGAATAATTCATACATGCACCATTTTTAAGATATTTGTTTAAAAAAAAAACTTGACTGATTAAATTTATTAGGTATTAAACAAATTTTACTAATTTATAGTAGTAACACAATATTATCTGTATTAAATGCTTATTTTTTGTAGCCAACTGTTTAAATTTACCATGAAGGAATTTTTTGGTAAATTTAAATAGTTGGCTACCTGGAATAAACATTTACTATAGATAATAATATGGACTCAGAAACTCATGAGGTAATATTTGTTAACGTAATACTAATTTTTATCCTCACTGTTTTTAGCATTCAGTATGGTGGCACTCAGATTTATAAGATAACATGGTATTAAAAGAGAAAAATATCAAGAAAAAATAATCCAATTATTTGTATATCTGATAAAGATAAATTATCTGCAACTTGTAGTAATGTTTTTTTTATAATGAATTAACTCACTACTTAAATGAAAGTAAGACTTATTTATGTTGTTTAATTTGAATTGCCGGTGAAAAACTGCTGAATAACCAATAGCTTAATCTAAGAGGTAATATAAGTACAAAGATTATGTAAATCACTCTCAGATGTTAACTTGCTTTATTTATTCTTATTTTCATGAGATTGCACAAAAGGTTTCATACTATGATATTGCTTTTAACTATTGGCTAAATTTACCACTAGCAAAATAAGTAAAATGTGTAGTAACTAGAAGCACTCTTTGTTTTGCCAGTTGCATCACTAAATTTCTTTCAAATAAACTGCACATCTGACTTTTTGTAAAAGTTTTTGGAAAAAGTATACAGATTATTTGAGTAAATACATTATAATTAAAAAAAATAGATTAATCAAATTATCTTTGAAATAAATAATTTAAACAAACATTATTTATATTACAATTTAAATTTATCAGAAATTGGAGTCTGTTATTTTTACTGATTCCAACTCCAGTATCTCAAGAATTGCTTTTGACTCTGATTTCATACCTCTGATAAATTATAAAGGAAATATGCTTATATAACATCAACATCCAAATTTCATAACTCATTTTCTAATGTATTCTGCTGACAAGCTAGTAAATTAAATGTGAACTAGGATAGATAACAGTCATCCTTCAGTAATGATTTTTTGTTATCACAGTTTAAATTTGATGTGAAAGTTTTTGTGTTTTTTTATAATATGTTGGGTATATAAATAAGAGTTCTGATATTTGTTGAAGTTTATTTTGTTAATGTATGTTTACCTACACAATATAATAAAACAATACAAAAGTTAGTGTAAATACAGGATGATTCAAAAGTGTCTGTAGAGACAGACAGCTGAAGGATGCACTAGTGACGTGTGCGCACACAAAACATCAGGTGTGTTAACACACATTTATTATGAGTGGGAGTAATGCATTTATAAATGCATTCAATTAAAGAGCACCTACACAAATCGTATTCTGTGTCTTATAAATAACTGCTTACTAAAGTTAAAAGTGAATCAAAGTATATAAGAAAACTTGTGTTATTATATATGCTAAATCTCACTGTTAAATTATACAGTAGCTACTGTCTTTGTATAAACTGAGTAATTTGAAACTTTTTATGTAATGTTTTTATTTCTTATGTTTATTCTTATATCATACAAACAGAAAAAAATGCTAAGGTTTGATTGAGCAGTATTTTATTGTCAAGATATAATCATAATGCACAGAGAAGCATGACATTTATGCATTAAAATAATTTTTGATACATTCATTCAATAATAGAAAGAACTTTATCTGATCTTATATTAAAAAAAATGATGTTTAAGATATAATAATCATCATGTTAAGCATTTTGTTATAAATTATCAGTTTTTATTAGTTTCATTGATATGTAAAATTAAAAAATTACATAATTATATACATAAAACTAAACTAAAAACAATTAATCATTTTTATAAAAGTATTAATTTAACATAAATATTTTATTCTGTTATTTTACAATAAGTGCAATTTAGGAAACTGTTATTAGGCAAATGTTGTTGTTTCATGTTCTGAACTTCTGTTCATTTTTGTTTTTGATATATTATTTTATATTTTTAAAAGCCTGCACTAAATATATTCTCATCTTCTTACATAAACCTAAAAATTTCTTTAATATTTATAAAAAAAATATAGGCATCATTATTTTTTCTCACTAGAGATGTTTTGTTACATTAATCGTATTCAATTATTAGTTTGATTATAGATTGAGTTTGTAATACAATTTAATTGCTTATGTTAAGAATAACAATTATTTGTGAACTAGGAGGATAGTAGTTTTGTCTCAATAAAATTTGTTATAAAACTTAACTAAATACCAAGTAATAAAAAAAATAAGTTTAATGCATATGCTGTGAAGCATGTAGTACGAAATGAAGGCACCTATTTTTTACAGGTATAAGCTGAAAGTAACTGCAGTAGGACTTCAATACGGAAATGTGACTATACTTAATTGTACTGAAAAATACATAAATAATATATTGAAGAATATTTTAAAATACTGAGTTAAACTTAAACTGTTGTGTAAAATGAAATTTTTTTGATGTTTGTTGTGTTAAACTGAAATCATAAATTTGGGCACCAACTAAATTGAGGATTAAATGTGTGAGGGCCTGGATTTGAGATTCGAATATTTTTATTCATTAGGTTAAAAGTTAGGGTTAACTCCAAATGAGAAAAACAACCGACAAATTTTCTCATAAAAATCGCTCATAAAATTCTGTTCCCACGAGGATACTTCCTTGTAGAGGATGAGTTAACTGTTGTGTCATAATTTTGTCACTTCGCCCACCATTGGTCAACGAAGATCATCACCTGTGACGTACATGGGGAAATCTTGAAAAGAGAGGCCCCATATAAAAGACAAGTGCGATGATGATACAAGAGGGAAAAAGTTATTTTCTATACTGTGTGTGTGTGTGTGGATTACCTGCCTCTCGTCGCCACCGTCTTCAATAGACTTGGAACTTTGACTGATTCGAACTTTGGACTAATTTGAACTTTGACTGAGTTACGAACTTGGAAGGACGGACCTCGGATCTACCTGTTATCAATGTTATAACGACATAACTAGGGGTATTTATTCTACGCGCAAGGATTTGTAAGCTCTCTCTCTCTCTCGAATATTCCAAACTCGTGGTTAGGGTTGCGACTAATTTATATTTTGCCTGTTACTTTATGAACTATACAGATTGAAATCCCCGAGAGGGATTTGTATCCTCAACTCTTCCAATGCCCCTTTAATGAGCCAATATCCTCTCATGTATCTATGATACGTCGACGACGTGTTAATT